CGATTAGGATATGACATTACCACTGGAGAGAGATGAACATATCAATGGACTAAAAATGCAAGACCAACAAAGAGAAAGAGTTTGAAGATTGCAGTAAAGAGCAATCTTCAGGAGGCTAGGGAAGAGGGTAGGATCAAACATCAGAAGGAAGACTTGGCCTTTAAGAGGAAAAGAAACACCTTTTCTTGGAGTGGAGAAAAGGAGGCCAGGATGGGTGGAGATTCTGATGGGCGCTTCAGAAACTGACAAAGATCGGAATATTAAGATTTTCCAGCATGAAGTTACAGGCCAAAAAGAAGGTTTACAGCACTACCACTCTGCTCACTTGTGTGATTTGTTTCTAGTAGATTTTAGTGGACCAGGTATAGGATCAGAAAATGCAGACTTTAAGACTAATCTGGGGCTATTATTTTTCTTCTGGGTGCAATAGTAGTATGGTGTACTGCTGATTAAGATATTTAGATAATAAACCAAGAGGTTGGGAATGGCAGACTACGAGAAAAGAGACACGAGTGTAACAGGAGAGATAAGAAAGCGGAAACGTATGTAGGTATGAGACTGCGATTTTTTGAAATGGAAGATATCTGAGGTGCTTCTAAAGTTTGGTCCTTGGTCCTCAAAGTGAGTGGCTAAAGTAGAGGTGGAGGGAAAGGTAATCAAGGTTATGGATATCCCAGAAATTTGAGGCTAAGATGTTTGAGGGCCCTTATTCCAATGCTGAAATCTAGCACTATGGCAGCAGTTGGGAAGAAGAGGAAGGCTGTGAGTTAAGCGTCAAAGTCTTCAACAAATGAATTCAACAGCCAGGAGATCAATATGGTCAGATGGCATTAGCCTCAAAGGAGAACAAGCTTCCTCATGACAGAGGAAAAATAATTGTCTTTTATATAATGTTTGCTCTATACAGTGATGAGCAAAGACTACCTGTATGATGACACAGGATGCCAAGTAGAAGACGGTTTAGAAAACACACAGGATTATTTTCCATATATAACCAAGCCTGAAGTCAAGTGACTGGAGACATTTCAGGGGAGCTTCACAGCAGGACTTAGTACCATATGCGATAGTGTTACTGGAGACTCAAAAATCACTTTGAGCTTTCTACCCTAGGAGACTAGGATAATAGTGATGTTACTGAAAGGGAAAAGGAAGGTGGAAAGATCCACCTTTCTTGAGAGGAATAAAATGATGGGATGGAGACAAAGAGATCAGGTGTGCATTTGAAGGGGAAGTGGTAAAGATGTGTTACAGGTATTGGGACCAGAATTCTTAATACCTTTATGGAGCTCAGCCCACTGTTTTGCAGAGTAGAGACTTCAAAATTGAAGTTGATTGTTATGAACAAAAAATAAACGTTAGGAGTACTCTCCAAAGAAGCAATAGTTGGAACCATGGAAGCAAATTTATTATAAAGGAGGCAGTCCTGGAAAACTGATACAGGGTGCAAACACGGAAAGACAAGAGTATGAGACTACACGATCCTTAGGAGCATATAGGAAGAAAGGACTACTAGCAAAAAAGCACAGAAGGAATGCTCAGAAGGCTCTGATATCATGACGATGAAAAGTATTTCCAGAAGTAAGGAGTGGTTAAGAGTGTCAAATAGCAATGCTTACTAAGCATTTATTCATGATTAAGATTAGTAGTAATTTTGAAACCAAACAGAACCGAGTTCATTCTATACTTTTTGAAGCCTAACGAAATATATGATAAAGAAAAAAGTCAACATTTACTGGCCAAACCAGATCTTTAATATGAAGTGTCTGCTGATGAGAATAAGAATACTTACCTTGAACCACAACATCTGGCTTCGGTACTGTAGAAAACCTACGATTCAGGGGATCGACTTCTCCAGGAGCTAAAAATCCCTAAAGAAAGATGATAAAAAGACAGGTTATTGTATCTCAAAAAAACCCTAATGTTTGAGGAGAAATAATATACCAGTGCCATAACCCGGTACCATGTACATCTGACACTCAGAGTGATGTAAATTATATCTCAATAGAACTGGAAAAACAAAACAAAAACAGCTGCAGGAAAGAGTCATTTATGAATAGGTCAAAAAGTCTGGCTCAGAAAAGAGAGTTAAGTCTACATCTCCCAGATCCTCCTGGAGCCGGGATGATAACTTACCATGACAAACTGTGATAGGGAAGTAGGTCTATCAGTAAATCTGGACAACTTTGAGAAAGAGAGGCCTTCTTATGTGCTCAAAATATCACAAATTAGCTGGACAGAATGAAATTCCCAAGTGCCTATTGAAGAGCTGTATCAGCAGAATTTAATATATGAAACATTTAAAGAGTCCCTAAAAAACTATAATGTCCCCACTTGTCATGGGGCCTAAAAGGATCTTAGCAGTTTATTCGATGAAATAATGAAAAATTATGTTGTTTGGAAAAGTTAGCACTTAGATCCATTAGCAGTCATTACTATGTAAGCGTGACTGTATTCGTGAACAAGGCACTACGGGTGCTTTGAAAGGGAAAGGTCTCGGGCCTGACCCTGGAGCAGCTCCAACTACAGTGCCAAGGTAGGCAGCTGTGGGTGGCATGAAGGACATGCTTGCCAGGGTAAGAGATTTTTGTCAGGGACTGGCCGTGCTCCTACTCTAAGGACCTGGAGGAAAATCTGTAAATAAGGCAGGATACAAAAGGCAAAAGATTTAATGAGCCACTCACAAATCTGATTACTATGGTGAGCGAAGCAGGAAAACAGTGGAAGAGCCTTGAAGTTTCCCCTTACCTCTGCCATCAAGCTTCCCAGGATGTACAGAGACTGACCCCACATATGAGGCAACTTGCCCATGGGGACTCGGTCCACAGTGTGAGGATTTTGATATTCTTCATCCACCTACAATGAAAGACAGAGGCCAAAGGAAGGATGATGGAAGGTTTAAGGTGCTAGACAACAAAAACGCTGAATCTAGATTGTGGTTCACATTCTACAAAATGTCACACATGCAGCAATACACCGAAAAGCCAAGCAGTGTGACTGTAGCCCAGGGCAATGCTCCACCAACCGTGTGTGGGTCCAGGTCAGCTACGGATGTTGTCCCCAGGCTGATCCTGGCTGCACAGCTGTGAGCAAAGGCCTGGAACCTGCATTTCCAACCAGCTCTCGGTAACGCTGCTGGTGCTGCCAGGAGCCTGACCCTCCCACCTGCACCTGAATGGAAGAGCATGTCCTTCCCACGCTGATGCTCCTTCGCAACGGAAAAAAGGAACAATGCTCCTCCTGACTAGCATTTTGGGAAAATGGAGATCCATTTTCCAAGACTAATCTACTCTAACAATCGCAGATTACTGGCCTCAAAACAAAGAATGCCAAATCCCGCGAGTTCACATAGAGCATCTCTGTGTTTCTGCCCACTTATCTCCGTATCGTTCTCAACCTCAAGGTTTGGCCTTTAAAAAAAATCAGTCTCTGAACAATTCACTTCATTTTTTAAAAGTATGGCCAACACGCAGCAAGGGAACACACGTGGAATGTGCGCGTGCTGGCGAGTCGGAGGGTAAGTATACACTGGGCATGGCTCCGTTAAGGTCCGGTCTTACCCTGGTCTGCCGTGCCACAACCAGGACCGCTTTAAAAATGTGTTTTCGAGGAACAGAATTAGATTTTCATTGCCCTAAAGACAAACTTTTAGAACATTAAAATCCAAAGATGGTAAACATTCTTTGACTGAAACAAGGCCATCGTGCCGAGCTCCATGTCCCGACACCGTCCCACTGACCTTGTCAGGAGGGACACTGTAGAGCTCTGGCAGAAGTACGACTCCATTTTTGCCCTTGATGAGCACTTCTTCAAGAGCCTCTCTATATTCTTGAACCTGTGGGTGGAAGAACGGGAGAAAAACACTTCCTGAGCATTTCCTTTGCGGACCTAGGCCCCATTGCAAAGGAACCCATTCACCGAAGAAAAAGGAGCGGGACAGGCACTAGCATTTATTAACTGTTTACTGCAGGCCAGACGCTATGCTAAGAGTTTCATGAGCCTTCCCCATTGAATGCTAATAACCATCCTAGGAAGTATGTGTAATTACAGACATTTTATAAGGAAATTAAAGCTCGAAGAGGTTATGAACTTGTGGAAGATCACACAGCAAGTGCAAGGTTGAGCCCAGTTTTGAGTCTAAGACAGCTTGCCTCCAACGAGCCTATTTCCACCTACTACGTAATGTCCTCACGATAGTTTCTTCACGTTACACATACTGTCTTTTGAAATTGTATTTTACTTGGCAAATTAAGTTTCTATTATGGTCACATTTACATTTTTTGCTTAACAATTTCCTGTAGATTAGTAATACAATAAAAGGGTTTCTTCTAGGTCTATTTTTATTATTCCTCTCTGTTCCCTGTTCTTTTTATCCTTTCTCTCACTCTTTTGCTAGCTGTCTTTTGTTCTCTTTCTCTGGTGTACACAGTGGCAGACGTGAGGGCCTGGGCGAGCTGCTGGGAACATGGGTGTACACATCCACAAGCACATTTCAGGTCTTTTTCAAGGTACAGGTGCCATAGATGCTGTGGTATTTATCTGTGTATTCCATAACTATTTAACATGTATAAAGCTGTGATACTGTTTTGATACTGTTTTGATTATCATTTTGTATGGATTTCTGACCAACTTTTTAGGTGTTGTACCCGAACCCTATTTTCCCACAAGCCCTATAGCTTTTACCTGTCAAATATGCAGAGCATGGTGATTTTTTAGGAGCATATATGTCTCATTATAGCTGAACTGACTGTACCTTGCACTTACAACATGTCTCTGTGTGTGAAATGCAAAGAACTTTAGGGACATCTTCTTCCATGAATAGTGAAAAAGATTCTCATCACATGCACAGAGAAACCAAAGAAGTCAATGACAATACTTGGGCTACTCAATGGTCAGCAGTGAAGCCAAAAAAGAATCTAGGTCTTCCATATCTTTCCACCACCAACCCGAGTTAAAAAGAGAAAAAAAAGTTGAATGTGCATTATACTTCGTAGGCATATTTGATAAATAAATATTTTTTGAGCAAGCAAAGTTTTTCATAAACAATTTGGTAAAATTTGAGAAGAGCTGAGAAAAATGGTAGAAACAAAATAGGTGGTCAAAAATAGGATACTCTATAATTTACTAAAATTTACAGTAAAATAACACCTTGTGGATCCTGAAACTTTCATGTAACCCTATTATTTAAACTCATATTGGCAGATGATTAATGTTGGCCAGAGCACTCAAATTACACAAAACCGTATTTCATATAGCCAAGGATAAGTAGCTCCCAAATGCATTGGATTTATGTCCAAGTTTAGACCATAGCCAATTTGTAGAATGCCTGACACTAAACTTACTCAACTAAGTTCCCAATCTCACTATTTTCCAATGATGGTTTCTAAACTACTTTATTCATGTAGCTAAAAAAGCAATGGTGACCATCTCGGGGGTGAGGACAGAGTATGAGTGGATCGTTGGGTTTTTTATTTGTTTTGGTAGGGTTTTTTGGCTAAAGTGAGAACATTTTATCGAAGATTTATTTTTAAAAAGACATACAAAGTCACGAAGTAAATTCAAGTACCTCTAGTGCCTGTGGTGAGTAGACAAGGATTGCTACTTTGCTTTCCATATTTGTTAAAAGCCAGGTCGTAGCGATGACACTATCTGGGTCTTCAAATCCTAACTGTGCACCCTCAACTATCGGTTTCTAGAAGACAACTCTGTCTCCTCCCTATTAAGGGAGACTTCCATTTTGAACACAGGGTTAGCACAGCCATTAACTGAAAGAGGAAGACATAAGAACATTCTGCTGAAAAGCTCTTTCCCCAGCACATTACCTGTTCTGCATTGCCACTGAAGATCCCATCAAGGATAAAGTACGTCCAGAACAATGGCCATTCACATTCTATGTTTTCAAATAACTTCAGCTCAGCTGGTTCATAGTATAGACGATTGGGATCCTGATAAAAACATAATAAACAAAGTCTGCCTTATCACTCTAAGGTCAGACATATAGCTTCAGTTCACAGATATTACAATACGGCCTTTCACTACTGATACTTAGTTTCGGAGAAGGAAGAGCACGTACATACTCCTATCTGTTAACAAGGACTTTGTGATGTGACTTGTAACTAGTAGAACTGGGACAATGATGACACTACAGGCAAGTGTATGAAGAAGTAAGATTAATCTGTAATAAATCTGAGTTTTGTTTTATACTTCTTAAGTTTTAGGGATCAGCAGAACATACAAATAAAAGTGTTTAGGACAGCAAGAGGTGAGGGTTTGGGAATCATTCTCATAGAGGTGATACATGAAACATGGGTTGGGTTATAGACATACTACCTGTATATAATAAAAGGCCCAAGAACAGAATCTTGGAAAACTCTCAGTTCATTGAGTGAAATACAAGAAGGGGAGAAGAATTAGGATGGTGCACTGTTGTGGAAATTAAAATAGAAAGAGAATTTCAAGAAAACGTAGGGATAGGTAATAGTCCCTATACTAGAAAAGTCAACGAGAACAAGGACTGAAAAAGAGGCTCTTGGACTGGTCACTTAGGAATTATGATGTTTCGGAGCATGATTTTAGTAGATTGGCTGGGACAGAAGTCAACAAGGCTAAAGAATAAAGTTGAAAAAAAAAAAGAAGAAAGTTGAAGAGAGAAAGAAGACCAGAGAGCTTAAGCTCAATGATTAAAAAAAATTATAATGGCTCTAAACCATCAAATCTCAACTTTAAATGATGTTTACATTGTTACTGAAAGTGCTTCTTATTGACTAACAATTCCTTTAAATACTATTTAATTTTTTCCATTAATATTTCCAAGGAGAAATATTTGACAAGTATGACAAAAGGAAGTTAGCTTTTCAGGAGGAAGAAGTATTTAGAACTAACCAACTGAAAATGTGGAAGGGGGGCAGAAAGATCTACTGATGGAAAATTTTTTCCCTTTATAATTATTAAATATTTTTGGGGGGTGGAGATGCTTTGAGACTATGCAAATGTTCTGTTTCTGCCTGAACTTTCATCCACTGATTTAAGCATCCATCAGGACCTCTTTCCTGAAATTAACCAACTGCAAGAGGTAGAAGGACTACATCTTCCTCTATTGTATTAATCCAGAAATGCTGACACACAGGACTTGGCAACTAAGCCCAACAAAGGTAGTAATAACTACTGATTATTTTAAGTATCATCAGCAAGGTAAGTATTTTCTCTGAATGAAGCTGCAGATAGTAGTGACCATTCTACCTTGGTCTCATTTTGATGAGGAGAAACCTACCTCTTTGGGAGTTTTATATCCATCTCGTAGAAAGCGACAGCAACCATAACGACCCTGCAAATGCAGAGAAAAAAAGTGAGACACATGTACATTGGTCCAGCCATAAAATTAACCAGAAATACATCCTTTGCAACAGCTACAAGAGCCAACCCATCAACAACACTAGACACGACAGTTAAAAAAATAATTTAAAAACCCTGTTAATAGCCCAGCAGCAGAAACCAATTTCAACACTGTGATTTCAAGTGAAGGCCCGAGGAAGTATTGAATGTTGAAGCCCGAGGGAGTATTGAATTAAGGATAGACTAAGAGAAAAGAAGTCAAATGTAGCACATTAGTGAATAATTTGGGGTTATAAGTAACGGGCTCCTCCCTAAAGCAGAGTTCCTAATATTATCCTTCCGTGGCTTTCCACCACAGGGTAAGTCTGTGACAGCTCAATCACTAATGTACGTGTTGTTCCTCACGAAACACATAAGAGACCACAGGCTTTTAAAAAAAAAAAAAGAAAATGTATTTTTTAATTTTTGAGATAATTCGACTTACTTAAAGAAGAGTTGCAAAACCAGAGTCTCCGATATACCCTTCAACTACTTCCCTTATATTAACCATCTTTCATAACATTTACCACAGAACATTTATCAAAACTAAAAAATTTTGGTACAACATCATTGACCCAAGTGCAGAACTTTTTTGGATTTCACCAGGTTTTCCACTAATGGCGTTTTTCTGTTCCAGTATCTGATTTGGGATCCCACTGCATTTAGTTGTTATGTCTGCTTTGTCTCTTTCGATCTGCAACAGTTCCTCAGCCTTTCCTTGTATAAGTGTCACCTTGATACTTTAGAAGCCTGCCCGTTGGTTATTTTGTAGAAAGTCCCTCAATTTGGCGTTGTCTGATGTCTTTCCATGATTAGACTGAGGTTATGCACTGTATCAGGGGCACATGGTGTCAATATGGCTTGTTACTGGTGATATTAACCCTGATCGCTTGGTTAAATCACTGACACAGAAAATACTCGAGACCCCAAAAGTTACTAATTTCCCCTTAAAGTCTGAGCCTTAAAGAAAAGAAAGGCACATAAAGACATACCTGAAGCTTGGTGATGATTTCCTGTTTTGTGACCTCCACCAACTGATTATCCTCTACTGCAAAGGCTGGGAAGGAAATAACTGAAAGTAGACTGGCGTCAACCTCTTTGGATGTTGAAGCCCGAGGGAGTATTGAATTAAGGATAGACTAAGAGAAAAGAAGTCAAATGTAGCACATTAGTGAATAATTTGGGGTTATAAGACTAACATTCAGCTTCAAAAGATTTATGTATATGAGGATCATTCAAAAAAAAACTAAACATTATTCAATACTGAGAGCTTAGGCAACTAGCTATTTCTATGAGTTATCCCTTATCTCAAGCCTATTCTCAATGCTTTCCAATCCTGATGCTTAAGCAGTTGCTAATGGATAAAGAATACTCTAACATCATTATTCTGCTCACCACTCTGTTGCTCCATTTGCAACTGTTTAAGTATTAAAAAGAAAACTCAGCTGCTGAGAAGGAGGGAATGGAAGGCTCAGCTCCTATACTCCTGACATTTATCTTTTCCATGAAAAATTTTGTTTTTAAAATTAGAAGGTGAGTTTATATTCACTATAACATTATGGATTGTCTGATCAGGGTTTGAAGAAGAGAAGTCATCTTGCCAATGACAAGAACCTTAATCTTTCGATACAGAGCAATCCTAAGCGAAACTGAAGATATGCGCTTACCACTTAAACAGTTTAATCTCTAAACATCTAATCCTAGAGCAACCTGGGACAAGAGAATGTCTCAGAGGCCCTATCGAGAGCACTCAAAATCAACCACCCTTGTTCTCTTGCCATACTTAGAAAAGCAGACCTTTGATATGACAACAGTGGAGAATTTCATATAATATGATGGGATCCCTTTATAACCTTGGTGAGAGAACAGACTATGATCTATGTTACAGCTCATGCTATATCAGGCTTATTTCAGTATAGGATGTTTGCTAAGACATTTTGGGCACTTGGTAATAAATGCGATTATGTACTCTCTCCATCAGGTCTCCTTATTCCAAAGTCCATGCTAAGTCTGATTCTAGGTAAGAATGAAATTTTCTATGTGCTCCATCATTTTCTTACCTGGCAGTGTTGCACTTCATCAGCCAGGACATGGATAACTGATTGGGGCCCACCTTTCACACCAAACAGATCCAGTTCATCTAGTGCTTCTAGGGCTGCCTGGGAGGAAAAAAGAAGCAAAGGTCAACTTCAGCATTAGAAAGATATGTGTTTCTTCTCCCTGTACCTCAGTATCATAGGAATGCACATAATGTTCTATTGAATATGTTCGGTAGAACAGGAAATACAATAACATTCTTTATCCCCAGGGGCCTCTGAATTGTTCTTTGCCTCTCATGCTGTCCCAGAGACAGTTAAGATGGATGTTGTAGTCATCCTTTTATGATAAAAACCCTCAACAAATTCAATATAGAGGGAACATACCTCAACATAATAAAAGCCACGTACAACAAACCCGCAGCTAACATCATACTCAAAAGTTAAAAGCTTCTCCTTACAGTGAAAATCTGAAAGCTTTTCCTCTAAGATCAGAAATAGGACAAACGTGCCCACTCTCACCACTATTATTCAATATATTGCTAAAAGTACCAGCCATAGCAATTAGGCAAGACAAAGAAATAAAAGGCACCCAAATCACAAAGGAAGAAGTAAAATTGCCATTATTTGCAGATGACTTTATCTTGCATAAAGAAAACCCTAAGAGCTCAACCAAAAAACTATTGGAACTAAATGAAATCAGTTGGGTTGCAGGATATAAAATCAGCATACAGAAATCTGGTGTTTCTGGACACTAACAACAAAATCCTCGAAAAATAAAAATATCTCATTTACAACGTCATCAAAAGCAATAAAGTACTTAACAAATAAATTTAACCAAGGAGGTGAAAGGTCCGTACAATGAAAAATACAACATTTTGATAAAAGAAACTGAAGACATTAACAAGTGGAAAGATATTCCATGTTCATGAATTAGAATTAATATTGCTAAAATTTCCATACTACCTAAACCTATCTATAGATTGAATAGAATTCCCATCAAAATGTCAATGGCATTTTACACAGAAATAGAAAAAAATCCTAAAATTTGTATGGAACCACAAAAGGCCACAAACAGCCAAAGCAATCATGGGAAAGAAGAACAGCTGGAGCATAAAACTTCCTGATTTCAAACACGACTACAAAGCTATAGTAATTAAAATATAATTCAGCCATTAGAAATACAAAATCCTGCCATTTGTGGCAACAATAAAATACATAGAAGAAAGCATAGGCACTAAACTTATGGACCTTGATCTCAGAAAGGATTTTATGAATTTGACCCCAAAGGCGACGGAAGTAAAAAGCAAAAATAAATGAAGGGGACTATATCGAACTAAAAAGCACAGCAAGAGAAAGCATCAACCAAACAAAAGGCACCTAATCAAATGGGAGAAGATATCTATAAATGATATCTCCAATAAGGGGCCAATATCCAAAATATATAAAGAACTCAAAAACAAACAAACAAACAAACAAAAAATCTGATTTAAAAGTTGGCAGAGGACCCGAACACTTTTCTAAGGAAGACATATAAACAACATATATTTAAAAATGCTCAACATCACTAGCTATCAGGGAAATGCAAATCAAAACCACAATGAGATACCACACCTCCTGTTAGGATGGTGATTATCAAGAGGACAAGTAATAACAAGTGTTGGAGAGGTTGTGGAAAAAGGGAACTCTCGTATAGTGCTGGTGGGAATATAAATTGGTGCAGCCACTATGGAAAACAGTATGGAGGTATCTCAAAGAATTAAGAATAGAACAACCATGTGACCCAGCATTCCCTCTGCTAGGTATCTACCTGAAAAACTTGAAAACACATATTCCTAAAGATATATGTCCCCCTATGTTCATTGCAGCATTATTTACAATAGCCAAGATATGGACACAATCTAAACGTCCTTCAACGGATGATTCAATAAAGAAAATGTGGTACCATGTATACAATGGAATACTACTCAGCCATTATAAAGATGAAATTTTACCATTTACAACAACATGGATGGATCTGGAGCGTATGATGCTGAGTGAAATAAGTCAAATGGAAAAAGACAAGAACCATATGATTTCACTCATGTGGGATATAAAACAATAAGCAACAAACAAACAAACAAAAAAAACCTCATAGACACAGACAATGGAAGGATGGTTACCAGAGGGGAAGGCAGGTAGGGGAAGATGAAGAGGGTAAAGGGGGTCAAATATATGGTGACGACAGGAGACTAGACTTTGGGTGCTGAGCACACCATAAAGTATTCAGATGTCATATTATCAAGTTGTACCCCTGAAATTTATATAATGTTACTAACCAATGTTACCCCAATAAATTTAATAAAAACAAGAAAAAATACATTTAAAAAGAGGGATGTTATAGAAACTCAAGCAGCAGACTTTAAAACTAGAATTTGCTTTTTAATTTGTTTTTCTGATTATA